AATTCATGTTCATTAATAATAAATATAAAAAAGTGATGAAATTGTTGATGAATTTTTAATTTATATATATTATTTTTAAATTCATTAATAAATCTACAAAGATTCATGTTCTTCCTGCAAATATTCATCAACGGTTCATTTATGATTGTTGTAGATTTATTATTTCTGTCAACCATAAATAATATGTTAAATCAAGTGTTTTGTAGATTTATTAATGAGTTAAAAGACTAATACATAAAATTATTTTTTAAATATTCATCAAAATAATCAGATGTTGTTATTGAACAAGGAAAAATAATTTAAAATGGTCATGGGCCGAAGCCCATATAACAAGCCTACTCATCGAAAGTGTTTTCTTGAGTGTTGACTCGTAAAAAATAAAAAATGAAGAGAGGATTAAAGAGAAGGAAACGTTTAGGAAGAGCTTAAAGAAGCTGTGTCAACCTTTTTCTTCAACAAATCCAAAATCGCCTTCTCCCGCGGCGATTCTCCGGTCTCAATCTCTCGCGACGGAGACTGCGACGGCGAAATTAACTGTTCCAATATGTTGAAGCTTTGGAGATGGTACCAGCGATGCCTAACGGTACATCCTGTGAAAACTCAGGTCATCAGTTCCGGCTTTCTTTGGGGATTTGGCGATGTCACCGCTCAATACATCACTCATTCCACTGCCAAAACTCGTCTTCTTAGTCTCACCGTTAGTCATTTTCGATCTCTCTCTCTCTATTCGATTTCCGATTCTTTGGATTGAAGTTAATGGAGTCTGGTCCTTCGCGATTGAAGTTTCGAATTGGGATTCTCTCCGATTCACTGTTCATTTTGATAAATTAGTTTAGGTTTCTTGAGCTCTCCGCTTTAATTTGCATTTTAGGTGTCTATATCTGGATTTCATGATATTTCTGGTTCAAGTTCGTATCAATTGATTCTTGTGTGCACTATATATGGGACATTTCAGTGAATGAGTAATGCTTGACATGTGTGTTGATTTATGAAGCTCTTCCTTAGACCTTTATGCTATTTCAGGAGTTATCTGTTAGCTTAGGGGTTTAGATACATTGGAACGTTGGGGTTGTGTTATCTGAGTAGCAGCAGCTCCTTCAAATCTACCTAGGAAATTAGGTCATTCATAATGTATTGAGCAATAACACTTGTTTGCTGAGATTCCATGGGCATATACTGTCAACCTTCTTGCATACCTAATGACTTTTCAGATTTCTTTTGCAAGCTGTATTAGTTGCGAAGAAGTCTTCTATAATTAAAAGAGAGAATCATGGAACCAATGTGGTTTTTCACTCTTCATGTTGTTGGTGTAGAACTTCCATGTTAACATTGCATCACCACTCGCATTTTTGTGTCCGTTGGTCACACATGTTCATCCTGCTATATAAGTTCTGTGAATTAGCAACTTTTTATGGCCCATTGCTTGCTTCTATGGAAGAATGAGATGATTTTTCAACTGTTAGAATTCAAGAAACCACCAACAAAGCTCTTAATCATTTGGTACTTTTCTATGTGATTATGGCTACCAGCTTTTATTTCCATTTGCGCTTAAGGTCTTTGGTATATATGTTGCTAGAGGAAGAAAATTGTTTAATATTTCTTATATATTGTTCTGACTTCTTAGTTTGGGCTAAATATCGAGACTATGTTGACCAAGCTTGGGTCAAGCACTAAACTAAACTAAGTTCAATATAACTGGTCACAAACTAAGATGTTGACATATATGTCATATATATATATAGGTTGCTGGAGGAATGCTGATATATTGTTCTGAGTTTTGACTACAGGCCATATTGACTTACCTTGGTCAAGCACTAATCTATGTTCAATATAACAGGACACAGATAAAGATAGAGACGCAGATGCAGAATTCAAGGTCAACTGGAAGCGAGTAGCTATCACCAGCATGTTTGGGTTTGGTTTTGTCGGACCTGTTGGCCACTTCTGGTTTGTTTCCTTCTTATTTCAGATAATTTGGTTTTAGCTTTTGTATTTCCAATGAAGAAAAAAACAATGTCCTCGTGTTACCTCTCACCTAATCCGGCGACACTGAATTAGATACTGAGAAAGAATGGTTTATGAATAGATTGATAAACCTGATATCGTTCTATTTACGGTTGCACAGGTACGAAGGCCTGGATAAATTCATAAAACTGAAGCTTCGATATGCACCAAAGTCAACACGGTTTGTGGCTGCAAAAGTTGCAATGGATGGTATTATCTTTGGCCCCATTGATCTACTGGTGTTCTTCACATACATGGGATTCGCCACAGGCAAGAACACGTCTGAAGTGAAAGAAGGACTCAAGAGGGATTTTCTTCCGGCTTTAGCTCTTGAAGGCGGAGCATGGCCGCTTCTTCAGATTGCAAACTTCAGATACGTCCCCGTGCAATACCAGCTGCTTTACGTCAACATATTTTGCCTAATAGACAGTGCTTTTCTCTCATGGGTCGAGCAACAGAAGGATGCAGCTTGGAAGCAATGGTTTACCACTTCATTTCAAACGCTGAAAGAGCGAGGTGGCACAGGTGGAGTATGATCGTTTCCCCTGCCATGAACTTTGAATGAAAACAAAAAGAGTGTAATTGGCAATTTACAATAACGAAAGTTGCCTAGGATACAGATTCTTGATCAAATATTATTTCGTTTCACCTAAAATTCGGTACAAGTGAATAAATTTCTGTTAGAATTGAATGAATGCAACAAGATATGGCTAGAGAAATGAGCTATGACCGCCTCCAAGTGGTACTCTTGGTAGAAAGACTGCAGATGCCTCAAGGCATGAACAATAACTGAAGCCAATAGCCTGAAAACACAGAAGAGAAATTCATGGTTCTGTATTTGTTAAATCTGAAAAGACAAATGAAATATATTGGCTTAAAATGGTAATTTCACATACGGGAACGCTAAGTAGTAACATGCATTGATTGACCAAGACAGGTAGGCTTCTTCTTGCAGCGGCTGGGATAGACTTTAAGGACCTGAGCGCTTTTTGTGAGGATACAGTAGAATGAGTTGTGTTCGAGCATTTTGAAAGCTCAGCAAGATAGATCCAGTCGGATTCAACCATGTGCCGAACTTCCATTGATGTAGCTGTACTCACTGGACACTTTCCGCAACCTGCTTCAGCACATTGGTGGTCACTCAAGTTCCACCTGATGAGAAACCGGTTCATGAAGTAGAGATTTTGTCCTGGCCAAAGATGTACTTTATCAGAGGATGATGCAATGTTGGTTCCATGCTCTGAATCATCCACCGATTTGTCTTTTGTTTTAGTTATGAACCGATTGGTTTCATCCCTCTGCAGTAGACCGATGGCTGTATAGATCGATTCGCTCAGAAGATTGAGCTCTCTAGCTTTACTCAAGACAGATTCGGAGGCAACATCCAAAAACGGGGCCTCAAACAATCTGTTCGGGGCTGTATGGTCCGAAATTTCTTTTGAAACTGATATGATTTGACCCAGATCATCAGATGTCGGTTTATTCTGAGCTTTATTGAAGCAAATGTTCAATAGTTCTGTCTTTGACGGTAAAGGACAATCAACAGAACATGAGACTATAATTTTGGTACCCTTTGACCCAGGAGCCGGACTAAGGTAGCAACCAGCAGCTGTAAGAGATGTCTGACCATCCATATGAACCAAATGTTACTTAAAAATGGTACAGATCGAAATCTAGACGAACAGAACATGAAAAATGATTACCCTGCACGGACTTGCACGGAGGTAGTTCAAAAGCAACTTTGAAGTGTTTCCTCTAATTGGTTTCTGCCGTTGAGAAATGAACTGGAGATTCGAGAGAAAAGAAGAGTCAAGAAAATACTCAAAAGCGATAACTTTACTAAAGAAAAAAAGACAAGAAGTAACACCTGCAGGACCGCAGCAAGATACTTTGAGAGGCAAATGTCTTTAACTTCTGTAGGTTTTAGTCTCTCTAGATCAAGAACAGCATATCCCTTCTGCCAATTCCAACATTAAAACAGAGATGGCTTTTCACTCTTATCGAGTCAGAAACATTTCATGTGAGCTTAAACCAGAAAATGCTCTTACCTCTGTCACTGTTACCGTCTGATTTATTAAGTCTGTACAAACTTTATCAACAAACGAACGTGTTCGCCGGCACTCAGAAATTACTGCTTGCAGCTCTGACTTGAAGGTGCCTGAAAAGCAACTAACATTAATCACACATTGCTATCAACCTTTAGAGAACTAATCAGGTTAGATGTTTAATAGACTTGCCTGACTGTAGATTTCCTATTGATGTTCTAATCCTATTCCGAACAAACAACTGACTACGATTAGTCGGATCTTCAACCCAATCTTGTCTGCCCCATTGACAAATCTACTAGTAAATATAATAGAGTTAATGATGACAAAAACCATAAAAAAACTATAAACAACTTCTGTTCATAGTTTCGAGAGAACCTTGTACATGTCTTCTTTCCATAAATCAAGCAGAGGACGCACTAAGAGAATAGATCGGTTCTTCATATGTTTTACATCTAACTGCAAACTGCGGGAGAAAATCTCAGAAGCAAATGCTGTACCCGCAAGTCCAAGTACGCCGCTACTGCGAGATAACCTGAGAATGAATAACTCAGCCTGCATCCAACTTCAAACAACATTCATGAATACCGATATAAACCCTTTACTTTTCTAAAATCTCAAGAGCCTTTACCTGGTCATCCGCGTGATGAGCTATAAGCAAGACATCAATCTGTTGTCGAAAACAAACATTCGAAATCATTTGATACCTATAAAGAGGCAAAAATCACATCAATAGCGAGTTTACACCTGATGATCCAAATCAGTGGATATATAAAAAAAATATGTAACCTCATTTCACGAGCTGCTTCTTGTAAGTGACCTTGCTTTGGTCTACCATTCACCCAATCACAACGAGCAAACTCACATCTGATTCCTATTAAAATTCCCCTCAAGTTACTAAAAGCTAAAATCTCAGACTCAAAAATGTTCATACTTTCTAAAGAAATGTTACCCATTTCAGAAACTCTGCAACAGACAACATCAGCCTCATCTTTGCTCTCTTGTCTTAATCCATGATCCACAACTATAGCCACAAGTCCATCGATGAAGCCATCTGTCTTGTTAACACCACTTAACCCTTCAGTTTTCCATTTTGCAGTTAGAACACAAAGTGCCATACTATCAGGCCCACCTGAAACTCCCAAAGCTGGAGGAAGAGACACAACACAATAGGTCAAAAACACTGTTTGTGGGTTATGTAAGTAAAACAAAATTTCAATTCAATTTAGTACACACTTACCAATTCGGTGGTGAGGTTTGAGTCCGGCCATGGCCATTCTTCGATTGAAAAGCTCCTTATGCTTTGTTTCATCCACCGTCTCGGGAACAGATGCGAGTTTACAGAACAATCGTGAGAATTTTGGGTGGCGAAGCGGATACGAAGCGAAAAGGGTTTTAGGAGAAAAGGAAAATGAAACCCTAGCGATGGAGCTCGAGAGCAAAGTCGATGACTTTCTTCCATTGGAGCATAGAGACAGACTTCGCGCCATTCACGAAACGAGCAAATTCGCGGAATGTCTCTCTGCGAATTTGTATTTCAAAAATTGATTCCTTTGTGAGTCCGTCTTGAGACTAAACCCAAGTACAGTCGATTTGGGG